TCGCTGTTTTGATTTGTGTGTCAAATGATCTCCAAACTCATATAATAGAGTTGAAACGATTTAGGGTGCACTAACACTAAGACTTTAGAACCTGGCTCATGTACGCGACCACACGACTTTACTATATGATCCCCGTCAGCTGCTCTGATATAACTCATATGTTAAAACCAGTGAATAAACTCCGCTCTAAAACACATGGTAATTCTGCGCTCACTTTCAATAAGGACTGTAGAGACAAAGGTTTTGCAGCATCGTTTCCTCCTGTCCCCACACCTCCGCGCTCTTTTATATCCTAAAACTCACGGAGGAGCACATATTTTCTCCACTAAAGCTTTAGCTCTGCTGCGCGACATGTAAACCAACAGCGCCGTGTGATGACGTCATCGGCTATGGCCCGGTTCTGTTGTGCAAATGTGAGTGCAGAATGTAGAACCCAATGCAGTCTAAAGTCCTAGTGTGAGTGCACCCTAAAGCTTACTAAAGTTTATTTTGGGATATTTTTTATATGAATTAGTATATATATATATTTTTTTTTAACTACAGAGATTGTAGAACAGTGGGAGATATAGTTTATTTTGGATACAGTTATGGTTTTCTATGCCTTATTTCATGTTCTAAGTATATTTTATTCATTTTATGTTTTATACATAAAAAACGTTCTAAGGTACATATTTGTAGCTTGTGTTTTGTTTTGTTTTTTGAGCGAGAGAGAGAAATGCTGAATGAATGCATTGTGTAGCTCAAGAATAATCGTGATTTCGATATTGACCAAAATAATCGTGATAATGATTTTTACCATAATCCAGCAGCCCTACTGTGGAACATTCCAGGCAGAGCAGTAGCATCAACAAAAACAAGCAGGTGACAGACCCCCAACCAAAAAGGTAATTTCTGTACAATTTGCTAGTCCTGAGCCTGAATAAAGAGGCTTGGCGCAATCTGTAAATCACCGGTTGCAAGCCAAATACACAGCATTATAACAAAAAGCACCATTTACTTCTAGAATAAACTTTTATGGGGATTTCGAAGTTGGATCGAAAGTTAGTAAGCGCGATGTACACAAACCCATGCAATCTAGTCTTCCTATAACACAACTCCCTGCACCATAAAGGTTACTCCTATCTACTACTATTGTCTCCATCATAAAACAACACAAGCCCAGCAAATGAGCAACAAAGTAAAGGTCAATGCAACATGTAATCCTATGTAAGTCTAACATTCAGCCATCGCCTCGCACCACGCCACACCACCATGCATTTCCTTTTGTCTGAAATCTCATCTACATTCATTATTATACATCAAGTTGCTCTTATCCCCGGGAGCTCATTTCATCTTCAGCGGGTAATATGCAAAACAAGACAAGTAGGAGGTGAGATGGCACTGACAACAACAGCAGGTTTAAGCTACGTGGGCTCGGTCTGTGTTTGGCTTTCATTTAAGGCAGAAAGAGCCCTGTTTAACAAATCTTTTCATGGGACGTGGCACAGAGCTGACAGGTTCTGGTGCATTCGTGAGCGCCGGAGTGGCTTCTCTCTGGCTGCAAACGAAATGTGTGGCGTCACGCTGGAGCCTTCACAGCGGCGAAATCGGCCGACTTGGTGTGGGGCCAAGCTGCAGGGTTTCACCTCTTAACTTCTGAAATTAATTTTGTACGGGTCCTGCTGATTTTGACGATTCGTGGAAGCATCCTGTGTCGGTCGTGTTCAAAGGAGTCTAATTTTGTCCGTTGTCGCAGTTGCCAAAAGTGCCCTGTGGTATTTGAATTAAATACTCGCTTATTTAGAGAGAGATTGAGTGTGTCATTGATTTTTATGTTTAAGTGTATTACTGAACTAAATGCGATGTTTTTGTCTGGGATTTGGTGAGAAAGACCAGTGCGCTGGAGGTACATTTCCAATTAGAAGTGCCACCTTGTGTAAACATCTGTATTTTCCTTTAACAGCTAGCTTTGATTTGCTTACCGGCTGTGTTAATGCAAGACAAACAGCAGGAAATAGGCAGGGCTACAAACAGGCTCTCACTCAGGGCTGTCAGGACGGACCGTGTGGGGCCCCGGTGCCGATAAGCCCGGCCCCTCCAGTCCATGAGCCATTAGTCCAGTCCAGCTCCTTCCTGGATCCGCTGCACCTCGCAAACTAATATGCCAAAGGGCGTCTTTTTATTGTCCTCCCAAAGTTTGTGTGAGTAAGAGCTGATGAAGAGGAGGGGCGGGGAGCTGTACTGTATATGTGAGTTCAAGCTGCGCACTCCCGGCACTTCCTGTCCCATAACGGCCAGTCCCACGGTAGGGAGGTCGAGCTCCACTGGACCAGAACAATGCCCAAAAAGGCTGTCATAAAAACAAACTAGTATGCTCTGGTTAGCACCGGATGAGGTAGCGAAGGGCTTGGATTGTACCCCCACGCAGAGTCCAGGAGCAGTTCACTGTTGCTCTGTTGTTATCGCTCTCACATTCACACAAGCCAGAGTGATTGGGCCTGAATATGCACTAGCTGAATACGCATGGCTTTTCACATCTCACACACCGCCAGCTACGGCAAACAATGGAAACCTCCGCAGACCCGGCCAGAACAGCTTTGACGTGTCACCAAGCCGGCTGTAACAAAAGCATTTAGAGGTGCGCGCTACACAACACAGAGCGGACCACAAAACATCTGCTGAGCAAACAAACGCGGAGCTAACAGGCAGCCAGGGGCCCCCAGCAACATGCTAAATACCTACAGTGTGCCCCCCAAACACACTTGGCTCCATGTCAAGGCTTTTGGCTCGGAGTCCCATCTATCCCCCATACAGCCCCAACCAGCACTCGCGCTCAAAGACCCAGGAAACGGGAGAACAAGGAAAAATGAGTCCAGCTGCTTGTCAGGGGCGGAAATTACAGGATAAGTATCAAATAGCGCACAATGAAGATCTCTCCATGTTTCTCTCTTAGGTTTTCAGTCAGACAGATGATTGAGAGAGGAAGATTACTAGGCTAAAATATACTGGAGAGGGCAGATTTAAGTACCAGAACATGCAACTTTTGTAACGCTACATTCTTCAACTTCAACTAACTCGCAAAGAAGTTCCATAAGGGATATCAAGGATGCTGCATTGAATTCTTGTATACTCAGAAAGTACATACAATGGAGCCACATCTTTTATTCATGAGACAGAACTTCCAAGTACACTATTTCAATGATAAGTCAGCAAAGATCAAGAGCTGAGTTTGTACAGAATAAAGCTTTGTATCTTAACAGCATTTAAAATTACACTAGGTAACCTTTGTGCTGTAGGGCCCTTCAAATGTTCTCCTCAGATGTCATTGCTCTGCCTGAAATGTTCTGCACTATGACATTAAACAGTTATACCTTACATTTATTTGATTAAGGTTTTATAGCTCAAAAATACCTAGAAAAACAGGCATTTTGACTATGAGCAGATTGGCCTCTCCACAGATCTGACCTGTAACTTGGAACTGGTTTAGTCTCCATGAAGACAGAAAGGTTTAATACCAAAAAAGCATTTGACAGACTTTCCATCAGAAAAGTTACACAATGCACCTTTAATATACAATGAAATGTGGCACAATAGAATTAAAATTTCAAGTGTTGCAAAGGCTCCGTATCAGAAAGTCCTTTACAAACAACATAATATCATGTTTTTGTAGTTTAGATCTCTACAAACATGTTTTAAAATGTATGATTCGTAAATTAGCTTAGCCATTTATATTTCAGTTTTCTCCCAAATGGCAATGCGCCTGGATCTGTCTAAAATGTGCACTCCTGAACGGATTTACAAACGTAGCAAATCTAATTGTGAAGGCCAGAAAATCACAAAGCTTTTTTTTTTTCCCCCAAAATGGTGCGACTTCACAAAGCATTAATCCACAACAGCAATTAAAACTATTCACTTACTATCCACAATTATGCCAAAGATGTGTCCACTAATAATTTAATATAACACAAGCACTTAGCTACTACTATTGCAGTGCTGAAACATAACGTGATTTTAAAGTGGATACTTTTACTTCATGAGAGCAAATATAAGTACTTTCTACTTATTATAGTTACATAATAAAAAAAAGTAATGTGTATCATTTGTTCATTAATTTTTCAAAATAAATTGTGTTTAAATGAATAATGGAAAGAACGGATAACAGTCGTTTCCCTGACTTAAACTGTGATGCCGGATCTTTGCGTCGCATACAGACTAAACCAGGACTAAACCAGGTCTAAACCAGGTGTAAACCAGGTAAACCAGGTCTAAACCAGGTCTAAACCAGGACTAAACCAGGACTAAACCAGGACTAAACCAGGTCTAAACCAGGACTAAACCAGGACTAAATCAGGACTAAATCAGGACTAAACCAGAACTAAACCAGGTCTAAACCAGGTCTAAACCAGGTCTAAACCAGGTCTAAACCAGGACTAAACCAGGACTAAATCAGGTCTAAACCAGGACTAAACCAGGACTAAACCAGGTCTAAACCAGGTCTAAACCAGGTTTAAACCGGTCTCAGTCCTGGTCTGAGTCCTGGTCTGATCCCAGTCCCAGTCCCGACCAGTCTGGTCCCAGTCTCAGTCCTAGTCTCAGTCCTGGTCTCAGTTCTGGTCTGGTTGTTGTTTTCTTTGTTGTTTTTTCATTTTCTTATTTTTGGTTTTATTTTGAAAAACAAATGAACAAATGATACACGGATTAAAAATATACAAAGAAACCAAAAATTCTGCATAAATCTGCATCAAAATCGCCACTTTTATTAGATCTGACCAAAGTACTTTTTACTCTTTAAGTACACTTTTAAACGGGTACTTCAATACTTTTTATTGAAGCTTTTTTGCTTCAGTATCTGTACTTTTACTTAAGTAAGAAAATTCAGTACTTCTTCCACCACTGTACTACTGTAAGAATGGGTCAAATGCAGAGAACAAACTTTTCTACAGGGAAATTAAAGCGGCCCTAAACCTTAATAATTGTCAGTCAAAAACCGCCGTATCTTGTTAGCAAAAGACCAGTTTAACCTTTGTAACTCCGCGGACACCTCTGTCGCTCATCGATTGCTGGTCACATGGGCCAGTTGGGGTGAGTGGGTAGCAGATGGCCAATTGTGAGGGTCTGGGGACAAAACAAGAAGGTCAAGTTTGGACACTCATAAATTTTGCAAAAGGCACATCACGAAAACAATTCAAGGCTCTTCGGTAACTTTGAGCGAATGGCAAGACTGATTTGGTGCAGAGAAAAGCTCCAAAGCCTTTATATAACAGTGAGAGCTATGGATTAGTCTCCATCTGTTTATTCATTTGTTTCTGCCGACAGTAATTACGCTCGGGCGCTTCTGGCTGCTGAGTTCTGACACTTTTTAAAATCCCATTGATCAGCAAAAGGCAAGTAGCGGAAATTACAGGTCAGCATGAAAACATTTGATAAAACCCGGTCTAAAAAGGAACGGGGCAAAGACTACAGCAATGTCTAAACTGGACAGGACTAAACCAGGAGTAAATCAGGTCTAAACCCAGAAAACAAACCAGGATTGAAACAAGACTAAACCTAACTCAGTTTCAAAGGTTCCACATTACGCAAAATGGACTCTTGTGAAATTTAAGGCATGTTATAATGCTGTTACCTCATCAGAAACGCACCTGGAGTTGTGCTTTGTTTCATTCACACATGTTTGAGTAATCCTTTATTATTAGTTTATCCACATCTTCAAAGCTCAAAATGCCCTGTTCCACCCTGTGATGTAGGGCTGGGAGTTATTAAGAAGTTGCCGATACGATGTACACCTCAATACATAGGCCACGATACGATACATAGCTCGATACGGTGTGCTTTCGATTCAATACATTTCAAATCGATATGATATGGTTCAATAAAAAATAATGGCTAAATCATGGCTGTGACACTAAAAGTCTTTGTTAAACCACTTCTTGTGAAAAATTAATATGAAACACAAACATTTTAGTCTTCAAAACAGTGAAAATGTCAAATGTGTCGCATAAATGAGTTTCCTTCCTCTAAACAAGCAACAAAACTGTAGCTCTGTAACAAAATAATTTAGTAAAATACACCACAAACTACTCATACAGTGATATATCGTCACATTAAACAATACGATATATTGATATTTTGATATTCTTGCACACCGCTATTGTGATGTCATATAGTGGTAGTTTTCAAGTTAACAGCTACCCTTTAAATTTTGTTCAGTACAGAAAAGCCATTCCAGGACTATAGTCATTCAAATGAGTCTAGTGAAAGCGTATGGAGTTTAAAAACACTGTGGAGCACTTCCTGTATTGCTGCCTGACTTGACTTAACAAGGTGGAACAGTATGGGGGGAATGACTTTGTTGAGAGATGAAATATGTAGATCTTGTGTGTTAAACATGTGCAAATGTACAAAAAACAAAAAAACAAATCTGGGTATGTTTTTAGTAAAGAAACAAAATGATAACAGATCAGAAAATTGCATAATGTGGGCCCTTTAAAGGTACAGTACATCACTTTCTGGAGGTGGTACGTCACTTTCAAGATTCTACGGAAATAAAAAGTTAAAACCATATTACGGAACATCCTCCATGGAGATAGATATGATTCATACCATACTGTGGGAAAAACAATATTTCCATGGAAACAAGAAGAACCCTTTTTCAGACCAAGTAAGAGTCAGGTTTATGGCGATGCAAGCCCATGCACTCAGAGTAAGGGCCCATGTTTTTTTTGTTTTTTTTTTTAGTGCAATAAACTCAACCAGAATGAACAAAAATATGATTTTATTTTAGTCTATTATTTGGGCTAAAACGTTGCATACTGTGGCTTTAAACAGGAGAACAACTACAAAAAACAGGCAATTCAAAACTGTAAATCTGAAGATAACAAGGACTAAACCAGGACTGTAACATTTCATCAGAACTAAACCAGGATTTAACCCGACCTAAACCATGAATACACTTTAAAACGGGATTAAAGGTAGTCTGGCTCTTTCTAAAATCACTCAGATCAGCAGAGGGAAATTACAGGTCAGTCTGCAAACATTTGATAATCCCAAACTTCCAAAATGGCGGCCGGAGTGTGAAGGAGCTGGTGTGGCCAACCGTATTGGCTCCATGATAACTGCTCCAGGACCCGCCGCGTGCGCCCCATCCCATTTTCCAACAGTTGGCGGAAAAAGTTTACTGGAAAAGTGCTTCTCTTTCTCCCTGGGCTTATTTTTCGTTCTAACCATCCCTGAGGACGGAGCCTGCATTTTTTATGAAGTGTGACAAATATTTATTACTGCTCGGCTCAGTATCTTGATGCATGTTGGCATGTTTAAAATAAAGCCAATATGGTGAATTAAGCTGGATTGATTTGGAGTGATGGATGAGGTTGTACTTTGAGGTTGCACTCTTCTATTCCAAGCTCCCACAGGATAAAGCCTCTTCCACTCGGTGCTAGCGGAGGGCACTATCGATCAGATCATTAGCTGGATCATTGTTTAAATTGTATTGATCGTTATAATTGGATCATATATAGCACTATAGGGATGGGATGAGACACTTTCTACGAGATGAGACATGTCACGAGATTTGGTCCATGAGAATGAGACAAAACAATTTAATATCATAACATTGCTTTTCGGAACTAGATCTTATCAAGGGAAGTTACTCAGCAAAAAAGATCTTTTTTATTAATGGCAGTTTCTACGGGACGAGACATGTCATGAGATTTTGTCCACAAGAATGAGACAAAATAAGATTTCATGAACCCTTTACCCTTTATTATCCAAGGGAAATGTAAGAGTATGAGTAAAAAAAAATCTGACAAATAAGAAAGGATTACCATATTTTTCGGACTATAAGTCACACTTTTTTTCATGGTTTGGGGGGGTTGTACGACTTATACTCCGGTGCGACTTATATATTAAAATTTTTACCCTGATAGCCATGAGAGGGCGCTCTAGGCTTGTGTGTCAGTATCTGCTACTCCTGTACCACTGTCACTTCGCGCCCTACTGCACATGTCTCCTGCAGAAAAAGCCGCTCTCCTGCTGCAGCTGTGAAATATTCAGCTGAAAACTGTAATCGAGCAGCAGAAAAAAAGTTTGGAGTGAGCATGAAACTTGTGAGGGACTGGCGGAATGTGGGGATGGAGAACACAGCTTCACAGCAACCGGGAGAGTGCACCATGCAACTTTCCTGGAAGTCTTTGAATAGATCGACAAAGTCTTGACTTCAGGGACAACTGAAAACATCCTGTCAGGATTCAGAAAGGCCCGAATAATTCTAAATGGAACTGATGCAGAGTCTGACGACAGCTACACAGAAGAGGAAGTGGCGCTCCGTTTACCTCCAGAGGTCGCACAATTGCTCAGAAGTGACACAGAGGATGAAGAATTCAATGGATTTAGTGATTTGGAGTGAGATGGAGAGTTTGGTAAACTTGTTCTGTTCTGTTGTTTGGGCTGTAGTTATCTGTATAACAGTTCATATGTGACGTTAACATACCAGACGCCTATTCAGCCAGTTGTTCTCTGTTCTATTGTTATAACTATAACTTGTCTTTCAAGATGAATGTCAGTCCCTGGTCTCTGATTTTATAAAATGAATTTCCCCCAAAAAGTGCGGCTTATAGTCCGGTGCGACTTATATATGTTATTTTCTTCTTCATTACTTAATTTTTTGGCTGGTCCGGAGCGACTTACAGTCTGAAAAATACAGTACTCAAACATATGTGAATGAAACAAAACACAACTCCAAATATGAGGAGGTAACAACATTTTAACGTGGCTAAAAGCTCACAAAAGTCAATTTTGTGTAATATAGGACCTTTAAACAGTACTTTGTCACCATAAACACATTTTCCCACCCTACAATTTGCTCATAGAAAAATTATTTACAACGGACTGACTATCCACTTGTCTGTTCAATTAAACCTGAGCAATATGAGTGCTAAGTGCCAATGCAAAAACGACATCATTATGCTACTTGAATAGAGTGGAGCTGGGCGAGCGGGGCAGACAGGGGGTGGAGGGGGAGAGAGATAGAGGAGCACAGAGTGAGAATGCGCTCAAAGGGAGGGCCCAGCTCCACTCCAGCTAAAGCTTCTTGGTCGCGGAACAACTGCAATCACAGGCTCTGCCAACAGCCACTGGATCTATATCCCACGGGCTGAAGGCTACTTGTCAACGGGGCCCAGAAAAGAGGAGGAGGGGGGGGGGGGGGCTTGTCTGCACACTACAGCACACTCACACATATACTGGTAATGACAGTTTGGGCATCGAGAGAATCTGCATATTTATGGAGGAATAGAAAGTGTGCAAAAGGGATTTCATATTGCAATCTTGTGTATATATGTGACAGCGGGCTTTAAAAAGTTGGAAGGTCCTCGCAGACAGACTAATTGGATTTATGAAGTATTATCCTACTGCACCCCGGAGAAAATACTGTATTCTGAGAGGGAGACACAACTGGATTTTGATCAGATATAGTGCTTTTTTGAACATTTTGACAGGACTGGACTTGAGTCTAGTGTATGTGGTGAGTAGGAGTTTTTTTGTTTGATTTTTTTTCATTCTTTCTGTTTGCTTTGCCAAAACTGAACATATAAAAAATAAAACATATAGAATATATAGGAGAACGCTTGTGAGTAAAAACAACAAAATCTTTTATCGGAAGTGCCTTTTGTTTAAACAATGACAGTGTTTTTGGGGCTTAAAAACGCAAACATCTGAAACCACCCCCCAGAGTGGAAAAGTTGAATATGTTCCGCCATGACGCAAAACTCTGGTCAGATCTGCTCACGTAGAGTACGCGTTTACGTCACATACATCACCCCCTAGTGTCACCACCTAGCCACCTGGCATGCATACCCAATCGAATCCACACACTTTTACATCACCGTTTGCACGCAGATTTCCTCCTGACAAAGCTCGTCTAAACGGGGAATAAAAAGTGAAGACACAACGCCACTTTTGCGTCTTCTGTTCAGACCATTATCATATAAACGTAGCCTTCATTTGAACACTTTAATGCAAAGCGGGCACAAAGTGTTCGATGAGTTTCCAGTGAAGTCCTTTGTTTGTTCCCATTTCAAATCATGTCATTTGTGTAGAAAAGCTTAAAATCTGCTCTATAT